CTATAATCAAATCTGAATTACATAATAATATGTACTTGGCAGATCTGTTCAGCTATCATTTTTTGAGAGTAACACTAGAGTTATTTCTTTGAAATATCATATGATCATACACTGTCTCTAAAACTAAGAGATTGCTATAGACACAACAGTACATAATATAATTCTCCTAATTTTGTCATATTCTAATACTAACCTTAACTATAATGCAAGCTATGTTGTATCATTAAAGTTAGTGCTAGTCATTTGCTATATTAATAAGCTGTGTCTGTAGCAATTCCCTAAAACTACTCCAGGATTGCTATCAAATTTTCACTTTCATGTGATGATCATCCAATAGTATGTTTCATTTTAATGTAACTTTACATGATTATAAAGATCAAAACAAAACATTTGCTTTTCAAAAATTACTTATTTCTCAAAAACTTGTATAAGAAACTACCTTTTGAGCTCTAACAAAAAAAATTTCTTGTATGATTTTACTATTACTTTTCTTAAACCTATCTCTATTATAAATACTAACTTTAACTTAAACGAATTTAAAGATTTTTAAAAATAGTCATATAAAAGTGAAAATTTTGATGATGATACTAAGAAAGTTTTGTTTCTAAGAACTGTTCATGGATTTTCTGAGTTAGGGTTAGTGGTTTTAGTAATATCATGTAAATTATACTGTTCCTAACTGTTCATAAACTCTCTGGTTTTAGTGAATGAAAAATTTTAAAATATATTAGATAAAGATTATTATTTTGTATCTTAATTTTAGTTTTTTATGATTAGAGTTATTTATTTTTAGTCATAGGTTAAAAGCCTATACCTCAGGTTAAAAGTCTGCAAATTGTCTATTTTTAAAACCTGATCCAGCTTACATTTAGGGTTAAAATTTTTTTCTAGTCTAGCCTAACTCACATTTAAAGTTAATAATTTTTTACTAGTCTGATCCAGTTTGCATATATTAAATTTTTTTTTAGTCTGACCTAATCTACAAAAATTTTTTATATAATTTTATAAAATTTTAAGCTCACTCTGACTTGCAATTATAAAATTTTGCAAATTTTTTGACTTAACCTGATCTGCAATTATAAAATTTTGCTTCAGGTCTGGCCCAGGCTGCAGAACCCAATGCAGGCTTCTATTCTGAATACATTTTAAGAATGCTCTTAACAAACCTTCAAATTTTACTAATAACCTTTAACATTAGTAAATGTAATGATAACATGATATATATATTCTCAAAAATGTAAGTTTTCTGCTACACTCTAAACAATCACAGTTTATTTTTGTTTTTAATAAAACAAAAAAAATTATTTTTTGTTGATGAAATGTAAAGTGTATAAATATAGTCATCTCTTATTAATATCAACCTATTTGAATTGGTTTAAATTCATGTTGATAGTGATATTAATGAAGAATTATATTAAAGTTGATATATATGAGGAAATTTTAGTATATAAATTTATAAAAATTTGATTTATAGTCTAGGTTGATATTAACAGAATTGATATTAATGAAGGATAACTGTAATAAGTTACTTAGAAAATTGATTTTCATTAGCCAATCAGGCGAATATCCCACTATGATGATAAATTTATGTTAGGGTCAAGACTTTCACTAATTGCCATTTTTTTTAGTCATAAACGTACATTAGGGTCAGGTTTATAATTATAACGACACTAAAATTTCACAAGAAATTTTTTTTAGAAGATGGTTACATAGAGTTACGTGATTTCACGTTACACCTGATCTTGTAATCTAATTGGTCAATTGCTGTCGATCAGTGAATATCTGTATGTAACAATAAATATTAAATGTCACGGCTGATGCTGAATTTGGCTGATGTTGAAGTTCACTGATGATCGTCCAATAGTAAGTCGTGATTAAAGAATTCAAAAACAAACGTTAATTTTGAAAATACCGAAAACTTACAGAGAAACAACCTTTCATGCATTAGCAAAAAAGTTTTCTTTTTTGATTTTATTATATAGCTCACTGACTCTAACCTTAATATAACCTTTAACACTAATTTAAACGCTAACCCTAACATAAATGAACTCTGTATATAACAACAAAATTGTCTTATGATATGTCACGTGAACATCCGCATCAGCCAAATTCAGCATCAGCCGTGACAATTTGTATATAAAACTTGTTTAAATATATATTAATATATTGAATGACAAAAATTAATATAAGCAAAATAATTTATAAATATGTATTTGAATTATAAATCTAATTGCTTAAAAAAAATGTCTGGTTCGTACAAACTTTACAGTCTATTAAAAGTATACATTCTATATATATATATATATTTTTTAACATACACAAAATAGTAGTAATTCAGGTTAATTTTTAATTTTACAATACAAAAAAAAAAACTTAATCACCAATATTGACTAAACTATCTAGTACCAAATTGTATAAAAGCCAAAAAAATAAATGTATAAATGTATAAATAGATAATTATCCGATACACAATTCTTTTAAAAATTTTTTTTTTGACTAAGAATAATATTGAAGCTTTTACGATAAAATCTAAATTAGATAAATCCCAATAATTTAAATATTATATTTATATATCCCACCAAATATATATCAAGAGTTCACAATCCAGGGATTCAAATTAAAGCCTCGCTTTTCTGTTATTCGGTCACCAGACATAAAGATACTACATAAATGAGGTTTTTTCGCCGCTTTCATTTCTTTTAAATATTCAATAACTGCTGCAACGTGATCATCCGTTAAATGATTGGAGGAATGTAAATCCAAATGCTTTAAACAAGATCTACTATCTTTGAGAAATGTTTTTAAAGATTCTGGTGTAATCATCCATTGTCCTTTAATATTTAAGGTTGATAATGTATTCGGCCATCTACGACTCATTTGTGTTAACAATTCTTCAACATTAAAATCTCCATGACAAATAAATGTCGTTATTTCAAGTCGATTATTATTGTTAAAGAATTCCATAAAATCCTTAGTTTCTCCTTGACGAATTTGTAATCGTAAATCAATAATATTTATACAATGTCGAAGTGCTTTTATTAAAATTTGTGAACCCTCTTCACAATTTCCAACTCTTGGTAATACAACATGTTCTAAACTATTATGTGAATTTTTAACAATAGCTGCAATATCACATGGATCTATCCAATATCGCGCAGAATCTAAAAAATTACAATAGAATCTAAGTGTCTTTAATCGTGGAAAAAATACTTTTGCCAAAGGTCGCATTTTTTCTGCCAAATAAATGCATTGTATAAATTGAATAATTTCTAAATTCACACATGTTGCCAATGGTTCTAATGAATCACAATGTGCGAAATTGCAATATTCAAAATGAAGTGTTGTTAAAGTATTTGCTTGTGTTCTAAGTGCATCAAGAGTTCCGATTAAAATAATTTGAAGTCGTGTTTGATAATCCCAAGAATATTTAAAAGCTTTTAATCTTTTCTGAGCCTTAATAAAAACACTTAAAGCTTTAACTTCCATTTCTTGTTCAACACCACCGACCCACATAGTTTCAAGAGTTTCTGACACTTGAGACATGGCACGAAAAATATCTCTTTTACCTCCATGTTTACTTACACAATGAAATGCTTTAAGTCCAATTAAACAAGTATCAGCTTCAGTTCCAGTTAAAAGAGGTACCAATGGCATAGGTGCTTCATGAGATAAATCTGATAATGAAAGAATTTCGAATGTTGGACACCTATTCATAAACAATTTAAATAACTGTTCTGCAATTAAAATTCTTAAAAAAGTTGATTGTTGCTCATCACCAATATTATTAGATTCTGTTGCAAGCCAATCGGACACAGCATTATATAACTCCACAAATTTTAATTCACGAAGAAAAGACGGATAATCAAAAATTGCTGGACTTTTAGTTGTTGAAGGTGGTAATATTACACCATTACTAATGAGATATGCTTTTGATTTTTCACAAAGACAAGTAATGTATATTTGTATGATTTTGGCTGTTTCAAGTGACGGTCCGTTCACAGTTCGAAAAGGAGATCTCCATAATAAAGGAACAACTACTTTACACCAACTCCTATTAACCAGAAGAGAAGAATAAAGAGAGCCTTTATCAAGATATTCAAAGACTTCACGAAGACATTCTGGTGGTAAAGAGGTAGCAGCGCTTTTATAACCTAATAAATGACGTTCAAAATCAACAGGTTTTTGCTTCGTGGACGAAAACGTTGCACCCATTTTTTTTTCTTATATTAAAAGAATGCTAAAAATGTCGAGAATTCGAATTTTCATATAAGTATGCAGGTCATGCAAGAATTAGCCAATCAAATATCAACTTTGGTGGTCCAATCATTTAAATCCAATTTATCTGACTACAAATTTATTTAAATTAGGAAAGTTTTATATTACATAATTTAAGATCCGAAATCGAGAATACCAAACAAACGTTTTAATGTACATAAGTACGTGCGTACGTACCAATACGTACATCCTTTTCCATTTGCTCATCCATGGAGATGTCAGTGATATGGTATTTAGAATTACAATTTAACACGAAACATTAATACGTATCCAAGTTAAATCGGAGTAAGTACATAGTTCCGGGTACATTACCGCCATTTTGTATAAGATATATTCCCGAAGATCGACGTGCCGTATATTTGATATCAATATCAGATATGTAGTATTTGGGCTTGAACAAATATCATAGGTTTTCTCTGGGTAGCACTCATATAAAGATTGTATAAAAAATTGCTAAATATTAAATAATTTACCTTCGCAAGGCTGGACACAACAAAAATAATAAATTATCAAGTATTTAGCATTTTTTAACAAACACTATATTTATTATTACGCAACCTCTATTTATTATTGTATACAAATTAGATCAATGCAAGAATGTAAAGTAAATAAAATCACGTTACAATTTATGCATAACATGATCATAAAAAAAGAGTACAATTGTTCTAAATAAAATTAAAGTCTAGCAAACCCACGAGACATGTATAAATGTTTAATAATCATAATTAATCAACTGCCATAATCGTATCTCCATTTCCACCTTCAACTTCAATATCTTTAATTTCACCTTTGGTTTTGTCCGTACTTTGAACATCTGTAGGAGTATCTTGTGTCATTGTAACTTCTTCAAGCTTAACTTCTTCGATATTAGATTCTTTAGAATTGGGTTCTTCCGTTTTAGATTCTTCGGTTTTGGGTTCTTCAGTTTTGGGTTCCTCAGATTTGGGTTCCTCAGGTTTGGGTTCAGGTTTGGGTTTTGGTTTTGGTTTTGACAAGATTGGGGATGCAAAATGTACTAAATTCTATATTTATTAAATGCACAACATAAGTACATTTATTATTCATTGTGCAACCTTCTAACAAATTGTTAACTAACCTCGCGCTCCTTGTAAATTTCTCGGCACATAACTGCTGGCGGTTCATATTTTGGCAAACTTTCTTGTGCCTTCAATTTCTCATTTAACCATTCTGATATTTTTGTTGCCTTTTCTACAATGCTCTTCTTTTCTTCTTCAGGAATATGTGAAAATCTTTCATCATTACTAGATGCATTGAGAATGAATGATTGTATACTTTCTCTTAATGATTGCTCGGCTTTTGGTCGTTCTTCTGCTTCACGATATCGTTCAGCTATGGGCCCTCCATACGTTTTTAACTGGTCAAGTTTTTCAACGTATACAGATTTACTGGCATCTTCCCCTTCATCATAAAGCCAGTTTTCAGTATCATTAAGGAGTTGAAGAAAATTATCTTTATCGTTAGGATTAACATATTCACTATAAACCGTCTCTATTTTAGATCGAGTGTCATAAACGTATTCTTCAAGCGCGTTTTTTTGCGTCTCTGTATCAGCCACAAGCTTATCTGATACGATCATTTCCACTTCTTGTTCCTTGAATTGTGTGATAACCGATTTTTCTAGTCCATTATGACAAGAAGTGATTGGCAAGTCTCCCTTTTTTACGAGCTTTTTCACTTTCTTGACAGGAAGACTTGGAGGCTTAGCATTTTCTGCTGTACCATCAGTATCCATCGGTTGTGGTTCATTTGTTGTCGTTGTTGTGTCTGTAGTAGTAGTTGTTGTTGTCGTCGTAGTAGTCGTTTCTTCTTTTTCCTCCTTAATTACTTCTTCCATAATATGGGCGTTATCCACGGAAAGTATTCCATTCATATTAAGTCTGGCCTTAACCCTAACTATACTTAAATCTCCTTTTTCTGTGGGTGTTACTCGGTTAATAGAAAATTTACCAATCCAAGGGTTAGTATTCGGAGTTTTATGTGGTTCAGAATAGTGAGCTTCAATGTCAAATGGTTCCTTTCGATAAAATGTCAAGATTTTTGTTGATGGAATGTTGTTTGATTTTGGGAACACGATAAGCTCGGATTCTTCATCAGGAATTTCGGGTATTTTATTCCACGTAATTTTAATAGGATAAGAAGTAATATCTTGAACACTAAATTCGCGAACCTTAAATACTGGTGAAAGAATAGCACATTGAAGTGCACATCCACGAGCAACTGCTTCATCTTGGTTAAGAGTATATTTGAGTTCTTGACCAAAAAATTTTGAAATTCTCTCTTTAACAGCTGGAATGCGTGTTGATCCACCAACTACTTCAACTGAGTGAATATCTTCCAAAGAAAGCCCTGAATCTTTAAACGCTTGTTCAAGTGGTCCCTCTATACGATTAAGAAGATTTTCGCTTAATTTTTCAAATTCATCACGAGAAATGATAGAACTGACGTCGATATCATTCATTATTGATTCTACATTAATAGGAGCTTGAGCATTAGCAGAAAGAACTTTTTTCAGTTTTTCTACACCTGCACGAAGGCGAAATAATGCTTTTGAATTTGATTTTATGTCAATCTTGTATTTCTCTTTAAATACTTCGGCAAAATGGTCTATTAAAATCTGGTCAAAATTTCGACCACCAAGATGTCTATCGTAAGCGGTGGATTTAACTGTTAATTGTCCCTTGAGAAAGGAAACAATTGCCACGCTATAACTCGAGTAACCAATGTCTACAAATACGACATTTCGAGGTTTGTCCTCGGGCAAGTCAGTCTTTGTAATACCATAACCTAATGCTGCCGCACTAATATCATTTAACAAGCGCAAGCAGTTTAGACCGGCAACTTCAGCCGCATCAAGGATCCTACGGCGTTGTGCATCTGTGAACCAGCCAGGAACTGAAATCACAACATCAGAAATTGGAATTTTAAGCTCAGCGGAAGTAATATCCTTAAGTTTGGTAAAGTACATTGCAACCAATTGCGTAGAAGTAAACACGCGTTGCTCGCCATGATATTGAACCTACATAAATAAATAAATAAATTCGTAAATTAATTGCTCAAGTCTTTTTTTTAAGTTTTGAGTATCAGATCAATTAATGAATCAAAAAGATTATGTTCCAGCATACAATCTCAATTAATAATGTGTAGATCATCTGATCATACTATCCTGAATATCCTGAAATGAGATATCCAGAGCGACTGCCAAGAGCCCGGATCACATGGTTCATACAATAATTCGTTAATTTAACAAACAATAAGCCATAATACAAACAATAAGCCATCATTCGCGGAGACAGTCATGTGATCCAGGTTTTTGGAAATCTCATCCTGAAATCATTAGCTAATTCAACAATAGGCGTACCTTGGCAGCAACTTGACCATTTTCATCTACCAATTCTGCATTGATATACTGCTTTTCGACTTCATGAAGTTCATTGTCTTGAAATGAGTAACTAATAAGCCGTTTTAAAGACCCAACTGTATTTTTGAAGTTGGAAATCTCCTGCGTCTTGGCTGCTTCTCCCAAATATCTATTTTTAGGACCAAATGAAACTAACGACCTAAATAGTCGCGAGCATGTTATTTTAGATCTCGAGAATTATACACCGCAGCAATGTGTGACTAAATGTTACATACGGTGTAGTTCGGTTCGAAACCTCATTACAAATGACATCAATACCACGATTACGTGCTACAGCAATTTTGGATTGGAGATTACCAAAGTCGAAGCCTAAAACAAATCAAAAATCAATGAGGACTTTTATAGTATAAGTTAAATTGCAGGGCAGTAATTTATATATTTACAAACCTACGACAGACGACATTATGAAAGTTTTTTTTTAACTACAAATTACGAAGAAAGAAGACTGCAACTCTAATTTTTCGCTTTTAAATAGTTTTTATAGGAAAGTTGATCTAACCAATAAAAAAAAAAAATTCGGAACAATCTCGAAGTTCCAGTTCATTCTACGACATTCCTTGGTCTAATACGCAATTGTGATATGATAAAATAACCAAAGTGACATTCCTAAATTATTATAAATATATGATGTGATTAAGAATGTGATTATAAAAACTTTCGAAGTTACTTTATCTTGTATAACAATACTCTTCTTTTTATATCAATATTGTAGTGTGCGCCCAAATTTATCAAATTTTCAACGCGATGCAAAAACAAAAGTTTCCAAATTCCACTCTTAATTTTTTTAAAAAAAATAGGTGCAGGTTTTTGAAAATTTCCTCCCTACATTGAGTTTAGTTAAGGGTATGTCCAGAGCATTGCGGAGAATATAATAAGAATAATAGACTGGTCTTTTGATAATGCTACTACTATTTTCAGCAAATATATTTTTATTAACGTTAAGCGTAGCGCTGTGAAAAAGCTTGAGTCGACTACGTAGACAGGACTGACTCGGAGTCGACTTAGACAAAGTCCGAATGTAGGTAGGGATCTGCATATCTTTTGTCCCGGGAATTAGTCATTTGATTGGCTAATTTATGCTGATCCATACGTGATACGTATTAGTAAATCACATATTATCATTATCATATGCAAAATTACTCAAAGGATCGAGTCCTGATCAAAGTCCCCATTTTGAAGGACTTTTAACAGCACTACTTAAGCGTATATATTTTTTCTTTAAATCAACGTATTTACAACTTTGTAGTCAGCCAGATTTAGAGTTTATTATACTATACAGTCAACGTTCGAGATAACGAATTTTTGCATAGCGAATATTTTGAAATAACGAAAATTCTTTGCTTCATATAATTGTGTCTAATTATATAAAATTGTCTTTGATAATCGAATATTCCTATATAGTGAAAACATTAAGCCAGGATGTGAACTTCTCTATATTGAGCTTTAACTGTATATTTTTTTATTGGTTATATTAAATATAGTATACATAGTTACCTTCTCTAATAGTGATTTGAACCGGTTGGGCTATAATCGGTTAACCGACCTGAACCGAATAAATTTCGGATAACCGGTTGAGAATTGGTAATTGGGAACAGGAGCGACCGTTAAGGTTATACAAATCGCAGATCACTTCCGTGATCATCCGTTCTTCAATCAGCCAATCAAAATCGCGAATTTTGGTTATTAGTTTTTACAATAAATTCGAATATTTGAGGGTGAGTCAATAGAAATCAAGCAAATTGTTTTTATTAAAATTTTTTGGAAACTTTAAACAATAATAATTTAATAAAAACTTAATCAAATTTAATAAAAAATCTTTTAAATGAATTCTACAAATTTGTAGCATTTATTTTAAAAAGGTTTTATAAAATTTGATAAAGTTTTAGTTAAGTTATCTTTGCTTAAAGTTTCAAAAAATTTACTTAGAAAAAATTTACTTAATTTCTATTGACTCAACACCATTTATTAAAAATATAGGAAATATAAGGCCTGAAAAATAAAAATAATTATGTATAAGAGCTCAAAATGAAAATAATTATCTATAAAGATTCAAAATTTGAAAAATATTACAATCAAGAGACCGAATTTATCAATTGTAAGTTTTAATATTAAATGAAATTTTCTTTTGATAATTAAATTTATCACTTTTAAATTATTATTTCATTTATTTTCTTGGTGTCTTGCTAATTTCTAGAAGTAATTTAACATTTTCTATAAAGTTTTGTGGTTTTAAATTTCTTAGATTAATGTATAACAACTTCAAAAAAATATAATTCATATTTTATAACTAGTCACAATATTGGATACTTATTAATTGTGAAGGCTAATGCTAAAATTAGCTAATACTAAAAATTAGGATCTCTTTTTAAATCTATAAAACCTACTAAAATTCACATATATTTTTTTATTAATAAATACTACTTCCTAACTTTAACCTAACTATGAAAAAAAAGATTACAAAAAAGGTCCTAAAAATTTTTACAATTTAATAAAATATGAAAAATTTTTAGCATCAGTTGATTTCAGTATCAGCCTTCATATTAATTTAGAACCAAATAAACATTACAATACTGATAAATATTGTACTTAACTAGTCAAACTATATTTTGGTTAATTAAGTGAAAGAAAGCATCATATACAATACATAAAATAATACATTCATACAATTATGAAATTCAAAAACTACTATCATCATATTGCAAATACCTTATATATAATTATTTTCACTTTGGGTCCTTACTTGTAATTAGTTTCATTTTTTATGTTTCTATATATAATTTTCTAAAAATATTTATTAAAAATATTTATTAAAAATATTTATTAAAAATATTTATTAAAATTATTTATTAAAATACAAGTTAAATAAATTTACAATGCATGAAATAATTTTTTTTTACTTTCTAATTGATTCTTTATAGCAGTAATATAAACCATCACTTTTATATTGCTTAAATCATCTTCTTCCACCTCTTCACTATTCTCATTAACAATTTTATTTTCAACTTCTTCTTTAATTAAACTTATTTTTAATGTCTCAACATTTTTTTTAATCTTGCCTTTAAGATAGTCAAGACATATAATGCATTTGGATTAATTTTTTTGTAAACAAACTAAATAATAATCATGACCATATGACAGAATTCAGCTATCAAATAAATTAACATCACAATGCATATAATTGCACAAGATAGTAGTGTTGGGTTTTCTAGTAATAACAAAGCCTCATAGGAGATGACAGTCCATTATTTCATAACCTAAAGAAACAAACTTGTAAATATTAATACCATCAGATAAAATTTAAATAACAGAAGAACACTGATCAAGTTTTTGATAAATCTTAGTAAACATGTCTAAAAGTAATATAGAGCACTTCTTAGAAAGAAAGCTTAATTGTTTTAGTATATACGAATATTTGATGAAGTTTACAAAATGTTGTCAAAACTTATCCTCTCAGTATTGAAAAATAAAATATGCTTTTGCCTATAGCTGTTTAGTCATAAAAAACTTGAAAGTACATCTTTGAATAACATTATGAAAAATTTCTACAGAACTATTACTTAGTGAAGCAAGATGATTAGTAAACATGCTGATTATTAGATGACTAATCTCTATTTAATAAAAAATATTAGAAAAAATATTATGAGAGCATGTTTATAATTTCTTTGATCAAATTGAAGAAAAGATCACACCAACAATGCATGCAAGCTTCTTCATAAGCTTGCCAATTACCTTCTCGATAATGTATTGTATAAATATCAAGAACTAAAGAAATTAAGTTGCCAAACAGATCTGTCAAATAAAGAAACTCTATATTTTTGCATATGTAACCAAACTTTGAATTAACAATGTCAGCTATTTCCAACCATGCTTTGCACATGATACAGAGAATTAAATTGACTTTCTATAAACATGGCTTCTTATTGGGATTTTTACATTCTTCAAAAATATCTTTATAAATTTTGTTAAAAAATAAAGAATTTTCTCAAAAAACAAGTTTATGAGAGTTTAGTAACACATAAAAAGATTCCATAATAGATAAAAATACAGTAATGAATAAAGAAATAGACATATTGTTAGAAGGATATGTTGGTGCAATAGCTTTGTGAATATAAAACTGTTTAGGCTAGTTTGCGATAATGGGAATAGTATGATTAAAAATGTACATAGGCATAGGTTTGTGATCACATATGACTTTGAGAGCTTTTACATAATCTTGCATTTTTTTCAAATTGCCTTCTATAAAGTCAATGAGAATAGCATTCTTGATATAGTGCTCGCTTTTCTTATTAGCTAATCTGTCATTATAACTATGCAGTGTTAGTATATCAATGAGATTATTGTTTGTATATTCTTTTGTACAATCTAATATATAACTACAATTTGAATAAGAAATCCCAAGGTTTGTAATAAATCACACTTCAAGATGTTTTATAATTAATTCATCATCAACAACTTTGAGATTAGTTATTTTACTATGCAGTATTGCTGGTATACTACATAAGTTTACCAAAATAGATGCCATGTGTGTTGGTAGAAACATTGCTATAGTATTAGGTTGATGTAGAATATGAATGTTATGATAATCATCAATGGTTAACACTAAGACATTTTCTGAACATCTTAGAAAAGCACTATCTACATATTTTTTATGTGCATCTGATGTTTTTTTTTTCTTATGCTCCACAGTTCTTGTCATCATAAATATACCAAGATTTGCTATTGTGTTCAAGCCTTCATTAGTCATATCTGCTGAATCTAAAAAATAAGCAAGATCAAGCTTAAAGGCATTAATTTTTATATTATTTAATGATGCAAAAAGATAGCATATTAACACTATTAATTTTTTCATACAATCTATCATTTGCTCATTATATTTAAGAAGTTGAGTTGTAAAATAAAGTTAATTAAGAAAATCTACTAAAATTAGATTAGTTTGTTCAAATAAATTTTGTATTTTATTAAAAATATAAATAAAATTTTCTTTTTTCACATGTTCTCTTATATAAAAAACTTGCACTATCTTCTTAATAGCTTTAGTAAATTCAATTTTTTTTACATTTAGCTAATATACTTACCTATTTCTCATCTAAGACTTTTTTATTAATTATTTCATTCACAGTTTTTATTCTCTTAAAACCTTTTCTTAGAGGATTTTCAATGAACTCCATATAACAAGAATTACATAAAATAATATTTTCTTTTTATTTTGTTCTTACCAAATCATTATTTATAACCTCTTTCTACTTTTTCTTATTCAATGAATGGAATTTGCTTAACTCAGTGGCTTGGCATTCTATACATTTCTTATGTTCTGACATATTTTTCTTGATGAAATCTTTAATATAAAAGTTGTAAAATTCAAAGGGATTCAACTGATATTATTAAAATATGCTACAAAAACTT